GTTTTTTTTTTTTTTTTTGGTAGATTTCTTATATTTTTTAAAAATATATTTAAACTTTTAACCAAATTTATAAAACGACCATTGACGAAAGTTGCTAGTATAATTTTTAAAAATGGAAAATGGAAAATAAAATGGTTTTCTAGAGTTTTCTAATTTTAGAGTCAACCAAGACTAACATCTTTCTAATGTGGTGAAAGATGTTGATTTCTTTAGAGAAAATTGGAAACAAGGAGTATAATGATATTTAGAGATTTAAAAAAAACTAAACCTTATTTTAAAAATTAATTAATTAATGAAATCTTTTGAGTTCAACAATGAAGACAAAATTGGATTTTTTGATTGAGGATTTTCTTGGCAAAATTAAAATTAAAATTACAGTATAAAGAAAAAAATTGGATCTTTTGATTAGGATTTTATTTGAAAAATTATAAATAAAAATACATTATAAAGAAATTTTTTTTACTTTAACTAACCAGGACGGCAAGATTCACAGTATTTTTCCAGGGAGTCACACCAATTGCTTATGCAGTTTGTCAAAGAAAAGTCTAGAAGGTACTTCCAAGTGGCAACAACTTTAGTCATTGGAAAGTCATTTAATAAGTCATCGATTTCTCGATGCTTTCCTGATGACAAGACATAAGATGCTTGAAGATAATGCAGATCTATCTTTATAAAGTTATTTGTCAAATTGTAATAATGTGTATTTACTTTTCCACTTTTGTATTAGATTTCATAAACATAAGATTTACCATTAACAAGGGTCCTGTCCTATCTTGTCGGACAAGGACAAAAAAGTCAGTCAAGGATCTTGTCCCATCGATCATGTACTTTCCTGGAGATTTAATTATTATCTTGACCAGAGACTTATCAAGAGTCTTTCATTCTCAAGTATACTCAAAAGCTTCGACCATCTACATATTTAGGAGGTCGAACTTTGAATTTTCAAGCATTTTTCTTACAATACATTTGGTGGTAAACTTATTTTTAAAATAAGTTTGAAAAAAAGACAATATTAAAAATTTAATTTAAAAAAAAAAGTTGAATTAGAATGTAAAACTAAATTTAATTTACCTTTATATATATAAAAAAAAAGATTTACAATTTGCTATTTTCTCAACAAATATAATGTATCATTTTACAGGCGACAGATAAAAGTCTAAAAATCATTTCGAAGTAATTTCGTTCGGCCTGGCATTTCATGTTGTGGCCCAATAAACGTCGTCCATCTGGTAAGAAAATTCTGGGAGCTGCTTCGTCAATCAGATCCATCTTCATTCGGATGAAAAAGATTGTTTCGAAGCCGAAAAAATCTGTTTATCAAACATCAGAGATCGTTACTATTTTCAGAAATCAACTTTTCATTTCATTACTTCGATTATCTGCTCAATTTTCGAGTCTCTCTGTGTTTTGCAATCTCTTAGTGCAAGATGATGGTCGAGGATCTCGGAATCGAAGCGAAGGAAGCAGCCGTACGCGAGGTTGCCAAGCTTCTGCCGCTTCCGGAGCTTCTGCATTCAATTAGTTCGATCAAGGCCGATTACATTACTCGTCAGCAGGTACTAGCTTCTGCCTGAATTTTCTCCCGCGTAATTTCTTGTTTCCCGTTTTTGTGCTGGAGTTTTGCAGGTATTGATGCTAATGGTAGGATGTTGAGCAAGTAACCCAATTTTTGTTTTACGTTTTGTTGCGAGAGTTACCGATGACGACGAGTCTTTGATTTAGTTTAGTCAAGAAATTCCAGAATGTTGCATCATTACTCGTCAGGACAGTGGTCGTAGCTATTTTTTAGCCTCAAAAGTTCTTAATTCCTCACCTACAGAATTCTGCCTTATGCATTTCAGAGTTTATAGCACTTGCACTTAAGAATCTTTTTCGATTTTTCATTTCTAGGAACGTTTGTGGTATGTAGTCTACTAAATTTCAGTAGTCGATGCTTTTAAATAATTGACAAATGGTAAATTAAAAACAATGCTGCACACAAAGCATGAGTGCAGGGTTTAACAAAAACACTTGTCCATGTTATCAATTGCGGATCTCAAGTAAGCTTCCATAAGCTGAGGCTAATTTTTGCCTGCACTGAATTTATCTGGTAATTAAGTTTGAATGTTGCACGTTATGCCACAATTCAGGTACTTCACCTCATGCGGACTTCAGAACTTACGTTCTCCCGTTTTTCCTATGCCTGTGCCTAATATTGTTGCATAATTGAGGTACTTTATAAAATTTTTGGTGCAGATGCAACATATGTTTAATTGTGTAAGGATACTCCATACTACTTCTTGGAATTCAAAATACAAACACTAATACAGAATACACAACAACTTCCAGCCAGTTCGAGAGGGCTGGTAACCTCTCCACCAAGTACAACTGCTTACACAAAATACCAAAAGATAGGAACTTCCTACTAACTTCCCCCTATTTATCCCACCTTC